GAACAGGGCTGATATGATGGACGACTTGCCGGCACCGGTACGTCCGACTATACCTATCTTCTCGCCACTCTTCACACTACAGCACAGGTTCTTCAGCACCGGTTTGGTTGAGCCCTCGTATACGAGAGACATATTCCTCAGCTCTATCTGACCCTTGGATGGCCAGTCAGGTGGGGGTCGGTGTCTATCATCCGAGTCTAATGGCGCCTCTTGTGGTAGTTTCGAGTACTCTATGATTCTCTCGACTGAAGTCATCTGACTCTCCATCTCAGCCGACTGTTTGACTCCCCATTGAATTTCTGCGGTCATCATTAGGGCTAACGGTATTTGAATTAAAATTACAAATAAGATCTAGGTATAAAAATTTGTAATGCGCTAATTTTTACATTTACTAATTTGTGTATTTTTTCAAACAATTGTGTACCATTTGTCTAAGTTGGAAACATCGAGGGACAAATATAAATTCGGTGATTATGATTGCCATGAATAGTTAGCCTTTAAGAGAATTAACATTTTGAATTAACTAAACTTGCCGAATCAAGTAAATTAGCTTGTTAAATTCACTTTCAACCATTGGTGACATCCTCATTTTCTCATCAATATAACATTAGATTTATTTGTATAGAGTGTAATACAAGTATTTTGTTCATATATCGGTAATTATTTATGTTATTGTTGACCGCACAATGATTTTGACATTCATTTTTGTATAATCCATAGAACTTATGGTTTTTCAACGACTAAAATGAGGATGTAATCAATGGTTGATAGTGAATTTAACAAGCTAATTTAACAATTTTAGTCAATCCAAAATGTTAATTATCTTACAGACTAGCTATTCATGTCAATAATAATCAATCAATTTATATTTGTCCCTCGATGTTTTTAACTTAAACTTAAATAATAAACTCATTTCATATGTATATTGATAGCGCACCTGACGTGAGGGCCAGTCCGGCACTACCGCCGTTCCCAATCTGTTCGGGGAATACCATCATCACGACGGCTATGACCACTAAATATCCCACACATACCCAGTCGAGAATAAGGCCTAGGGCTCGGGATGTACATGCAAATAGGAACCAGGTGGCATTATGGTCATTTTGGTAGACATAGTACTGGCGCTCAAAGGCCTCCTGTGCCCCATAAGCCCGCACACTGGCCAACCCATTCAGGGTTGTGCTCACGTGAGTATACAATGGACTTCTCGCTATTAAATGTTAATTAAGTAAAACAATTATAACCACATTATAATCACTACTCTATGAGCACATACTTATCCCCTCGAAACGTTTAATATCCCTGGCCGATTTCATGTATATACCCCTCACAATCACCAATATTATAATTAAGAAAATACCCGGGATGATTAGGTAGATGTTGACAATGGCAACCGTTATTATAATACCAATCGTTTCAAATAACTTCTGTATTGAGACGAAAATATATTCAATTTCTACATAAACTCGCAAAACTGTTAATCAATAAAAATGTAATTTTAATATATTTACTAAATTAAAGTAAAAACCAGTGAACGGAAGCATTTCGTCGACAATACCCATGTCCTTCGAGAATCGGTTTAGCATTTGACCTATAATTATATATATATAATGTGTTACTATTATAGTGATCAAGAACATTTTAATTCGTTAAATGTTTGATTTTATCAAATGTTAATGTTTTAATACTGACTTGTGAGTATTAAGCTTGTAGGAGCCTGGCCAGTTTTACCATTATTTTGTCAAACCTTACAAGCAGACAATAAACTATTGTTATGCTCACCGACGGGGTTGTTGTCAAACACGGCTATCGGTGCCCGTAATAGACGTGTGAATATACTGTTGTGTAGATTAACGGACGCTCGCATACACATCACGAACCACGTGATGGCCCGCAATAGGGATGTCACAAACAGGGCCCCAATGAGTCCCGAGTAGACGTAGACGTAAAAGTTTTGTGTATCCTGGTCAATTGCATTAGCCTTTTGATTTTTGCCAGTACTGAATACAAACGATAATTTATATTTATAATTTTCTAAATATAATATATTTCTAATATTATCTCAATAAAGTTCTCGAAAACAACTCCATTAATATTACGCCTACTTGATAGTTACAAATTGTAAATTACCATGCGTACACTTTGAGTGTTTTCTTTAAATACAATTAATGTCTGGCGTATAGTATGGTACCATATAATGAGAATATCAAACTCTATTTATAAATAAGAATGATCTAGTATATTTGTCATAAAATATAATAAATCTTGTTTTTAGTGCCTAGTTGACTTATTCTTATCAATGTAAGCTCCGAGACTCCGGGAGAGATAGATAGATAGATAGATAGATAGATAGATAGAGAGAGAGAGAGAGAGAGAGAGAGA